ACACGGGTGAACGGCCATTTTGTTGTTCAGAATGTGGAAAACCCTTTCGTTCCCTGAGTGGACTGCATGCCCATCGTGCATTGCACTCTGAAGAGCGACCTTATGCATGTACATATTGTGATGCTCGGTTTCGACGCCGTACATACTTGGTTGGTCATCTTCGTACGCACACTGGGGAGAAGCCCTTTGTGTGTGACATATGTAAACGTCCATTTGCTCAGCGTAGTGACATGGTGAAGCACAGAGCTCGGCATTACAAGTGATATTTCTTACTGGAAGTGGACATCACAGAAAAGGGACCAAAAAAAAATTTCCTGTAAAATTTTGATTCATATTGTAAGCTGCTTGTAGAAAGACTAATTTCTTGTGAAGTCACAATAACTGCACTGACTTTCATCATCATAATTAGAACTTTTAATGTTTTTTCCTAAAACATGTTTTCATTAATAAAATTATTCTGTGCAAAAAAGTTTCTGTAAGTTAATCATTTCCACTTTCTTGGTTAGTTGTTATATGAAGTCATATATTTTACTGATTTCCTACAATTCAATATACATAACTCCTTTCCACCTTCTTGCTCTGTAGTCCTTGAGCTGTCAATTTGAAAATCTTGTGAAGGACTTCATTTTTCTTGTTTTAAATTAAATTATCTTAAGACGAGGCAGAAGAAAAGCCTGCACTGAATAGAGCACTACATAGTAGGGAACAAAAACATTTTATAAAATATTACTTAAATATATATTTTCTCAAGTAGAGACATATGAACCCACTACTATTTTTATTTGAATCTATAAAAACTATTTCAAAATTAAAACTACCGGTATTCTTATTTTATAACTGATGGCAGAGTACTCTTGTAAAACTTCCTGTGCAAATAATGTAGTAGTGGTGCCACTTTTGGCTCTTACAGAACGTTCAAATAACAACTCAATCTTTGTTTCCATACAATCATCAACACTCAAACTTTCATTCCCAATGCTGGTCCTCCTCCTTCCTATCAAATTCTATTACAAAACAATTCTCCATAACCTCAATAATGGCTTTGTTTCTACTGTTCCTAGAATAAATTGCAAGATTGGTGCTCTCCATGCATACAGAGAAGGATATTTTTGACATGTGGTAACAGCATTGCCTAGGACCAGGCTTCATACCTTCTGAAAAACGTTAAAGTTACAAAAAAACATAAGTACACAGTTTAAATGAGTACCTGTGCGAATACAACGTATGCATTAAAAATAAAAAAACACCAAAATTCCAACTTCATTGCACGGCCTGTACATCAATGAAAATCAGCCGCGCTATCAATTTGGTTACTAGCCGATACTATAGTCTGAAGGGAGAAATTTCCGCCTTGGTTTTACAGGTTTACGTACTGAATCTTCTTGAAAATCTTATGAACATTAATTCACGTCCCATTAAAAATTAGGTAAAACACGTTAATGTCTTTGGTTAATAGACATCTGACACAAACCATTTCAAATAACTGAAGAAAGGGAAGAGCCACATATAAACAAGGAGATTACGGATGGCGGTAATTATGGTGCTTCCTGTACGCCTGAATTACTTCCGGTATGAGACTGAAAATATGAAGCTTTTAATTTTTGTTGCACAGAGTGTATAAGGAGAATAGCACATTCATAGTTAAATTTTGTTGATTACCAGTCCTGCATTTTCGCCTGTTCATGTTTCTGAATAGTTTTAAAATAAAGTTCGTGAATCATACTTTTACATGTTGTGGCATACTTGTTTTCCAAAACTGAACTTTCGCGCGGTTACGGATGTGAATTGTTCAAAATTGAAAGTCAAACATACTTGGAAAATACTTTAACACAAAAATGTTAGCTTCTCTATTCGTTCTTGTCCTTCGGTTTTCACGACTGGAGTTAAGTGTGCAACTTCGTCTACCAGGAACGAGCAGCTTTGGTGTATATTTTCCCAATATTTTAGCAATCATTGCAGGTCACGTCTTCTTCAGAGTGAATATGTAATTTCAGAAAGCCTGAAATAGAATAGCCAGTAGGTAGTGAGTAGATTGTGAAGGACCTAATTGGCAGAACAGAGGAGTTAGCTGCTGTCCATTCAGTAGTGAGCGTATTGTTCATACGATTCCAGGCCAGATTTACAAACAGTTCCTGTGCTTACTTCAGCACCACTCATAACGATGCATTCCTGTGTTTAAGCTGATGCCATGAGGACATTTGGGGAAATGAGTTATAGCTGCATGCACCAGATCAGGGTGAGTGAATAGAATAGAAAATAATGGATATACCCAGGCTGTGGTTTACCCCCAGGAAAGAACCCCAGTACCCATTGGACAGGAGGCTGGGTAGGTTCCTGAACCAGTTTGGACATGGTGGTACATTTCATGTAAGTACAAAATCTTTCAAACATTTTAAAAAATGCATTGATAGTTAAAAGTCTGGTATTTATGAAAGACTCTTGGGTTACAAGCCGCATCAGTTGGCTGAATGGTTAATAAACTGTATCTTTTGCCAAAGTTTAGAGAACAATCGCTGCTCTCATCCTCAGGGCTTCTGGGTAACAAATCTGATTTTATGCTGTGCACTCGCTGATGGGTTCGTTACCTTCGCAGTAAAGATGGAAGTCTGATGGCAGTGTATATGTGGCTAGAAACTGATATCTTCTAGTTGAGAAAACATTGCATCGTAGTTCTGTGTGCAAGTTGGTTCTACTTAATTTTCTGTTTCTTTATCGTATAAACTGAACAATTACAAATGGTCATCAACCAGAAGGAGGGTAGAAAACCATTCATAGTAAAGAGAGATTATAAATCATGTGAATCACCAGTGTAAACTAGAAGCAGTGGAGAAGTCTGATTTTGCCCATTTGCTGACCTGGTGAAAGAACAAATTGTTGTGGAAGGTCTTTGGCGGCAGTGGAACAGGTTAGATGGGAGAGCTGAGAAAGGAAATTTATGATAAGGTCCATATGTGTGTGGGGCTAGGTTTATAGGAGCTCCTGTAAACCTAGCCCCACACACCCTATTGGCATATTCATTGCCCTGATGACGGAGGCAGTATGACCTCTGAAACATTGGTTAACATCGACCAGACTACACAGCGCAACAACCCAGAAGACAAAAATCTTCAGTTTCTGCATTAGTTTTAAACCTTTTATAGCTCAGTATTAAAAGTTACTACAGCATATCACTGGACTACAAGGATTCTGAAAGTACCAAAAGTCCTACAAAGGGCTTCAAATGTACCGGTAATCCAAATCCCTCTTTCTAGAAAGTAGGATGTAAGTGGCATCTAAAATATTATATCGAATTGCCCAATTTTCGGTTTCAAAATATGGGACATATTCTTGTCTGATAAGTAACTGTTGGATGTAAAAGTAAAATATTGTTACCTTTCATTATTTAAGCATTTCAAGTAGCAGAAAAAACTTACATGTATGTGCTGCCTGGTGCTGTCTAAATACAAACATTGCTTTGTCCTTGGCGTGCTCTGAGGGACAGACAGGAAACTTTAAATGAAAAACAAAACAGAATTCCACTGAAACTGCAAAAGTCCTGGCAAGATGGTTCTGGGAACTATGTTTTCATCATGGATTAGCTCAATTAAGACAAGTTGTGGGGTGGGAGGAAATAATTGCTTGTTATGATGAAGGTGTTAGAAAAAAGCTCTTGTTCTGCACATTTTCCATATTAGTGATGTTAAGAAGTTGACAATGCCTATGATTTTGCTCTGCTATAATGATAACATTCATGTTATAGATCATATTCAAATTGTTCCAGTGGCGTGAATGTTTATGTGTAATTTTCTTTATTGCCACAATCCTTTTCATCTTATCACTTCTCCATTTTCAGGGTTTGGTAATGGAGCCATGGATATCCTTGTAAATTACTCTCATTGTTAGGTAAAAGACTAAGGACAAGAAAATATGAATCACAAGAGTAAATTTAGTAAAAAAAAACAAATTGTTCCTTAAACCCCTTTACAGTTAGTGGAGATATGTGTTAATAGACTGCTCTTTGCCAATAATCATTCTGATGTGAACATTTAGACACCCATACAGTATTTCAGCCCCACACAAATACATCCTTCAATTAAAATTTTAAGACCATGACTGCTGTTATGATCAGCCTAAACTATATGAGTATACTGATTAACAGCAAAGAACATTCACTGTTGTCAATAAAATGCTTGTTTTAATCTGTTAGAATGAGACAGTCTGATGGCCATTCAATTCTGAAGTCATTACCATCATTATACTAGTGCTATCGTTAAGATGCATTTCTTTATGTAACGTACCAATTACTTCTTTAGCACTCATTAGCAGCTTTCTTTTTTAAGTATATATGAAAGTAAAATTAAGACAGATATTGGACAGATATGGGGTCCCGCAGTGGCCGCACGGTCTGAGGCGTGGGCCTTGTGCCACTTGGTCACTGGAACCGTGGGTTCGAATCCCACTCAAGCCATGCATGTTTGTCCGCATTTTTCTGTGTTGTGCTGTCCTGCGTACAGGTAGAGGCCTTGCGACGGGCCGATCCCTCGTCCAAGGAGTCCTACCAAAATGTCTATAGATCAAGCCAACGAAAAGTTGGGACCCACAGTGCTCAGGCGCTTGAAGAACGGGTCGTTCCCAGTATCCCCAATATCCCCAGTATTGGACAGATATATCTAATCTTGTTTTACAGTGGATCATCATTAGTACATTCCAAATTGGGGTATTTTCATATTATGAGTTTTGTTTTGGTTATCTCAGTGAAAATCCTTTATTTTTCTGTTAAATGTTGTCCCACTAACCGTTTCATTTAAACATTTTATTTCAACAAACATGTTCAACATTAATTTAAAAACATGCCCTCATGCTGCTGACTGTTTAGGCTATGTATCCATTCTGAAGTATACTTGTGAAAAGTTAGCAGATACACATTATTAAAACCATTTACTTCTCCTATCCAGGTGGTTTTACTGCTGATGATACTCAGAGGATTAATATGGTGTGGTCAGGAATTCAAACAACATTACTGTTCCTCAGTACACTTTAAGATAAAAATAAAAGGATTAGTACAATTTTATTTTTGGTCCTAAAGTATTTGTACTTATAAAATTTCATTGTAAATTACAATAACTGCATATTATACTTATGAATGTCTTGCCAGATGTGTATAAAAAACAGTATTATTTATATTCATGACAGTTCATGAAGCACAAGACTTGGAATTTCCTCTGCAACAGTAGCAATGCTTGGAATTGTTATAACATTGTCAGAATTTATAATAACAATACTAGAAGCTTTCTCTTCAGGCGTATGTTCATTTTCAAAGTGGTGGTCCAAATCCTCTTTCACCTCATACATTTGTCCACACAATGGACAGGTGTACATAGCTGAATTGTCTCCTTCAGTAAGTAGCACAACAGACTTTCCTCGTTTTCCATGAGTTTTCTCATGTTTGCTGCAATCTCCTTTCTGCCTAAAGGCACGTCCACAGAGCCTACATGCATAGGGACGCTCATCTGTATGGGTGCGTATGTGTGTGTCCAGTGTGTCACGTCTTCTAAAACCTCTTCCACAGTGCATGCAACGATAAGGCCGCTCATCAGAGTGGACAACCTTAAACAAAATACAACAAATAATTCATCACATATAGCACAGAAATGTGTTTCTTTTTATTTATATATATACAGTATGTTGAGCATCTTGGAAATACTTGCAGTCCAGTGAAATACTGATACAATTTCAAAAGTGTGTCTACCAAAGAGAAAATTAAGTGATAACATACAAAAATATTGTAACTTACAGTAACAAGTATGAAACAACAAAGTAAATTTTATTATGCTGTGGGTCTGAACGTGTCTGTAATGCAAGTTCAAATGTTACGTTTTGAAATATCCAATATCAATCATCTAACCACATTATGGTTAAGGAAGATTAGTGGATATTAACAATCTGCTTTTAATAAATTCTTTTCTGACATACCTTGTGCTGATTAAGTGTTGCACGACATCGGAATGCCATCTCACACTGATCACATTGGTAAGGTTTCTCTCCTGTGTGTATTCTTTCATGTACAATCAAGCCAACGCGAGACTGAAAAGCTCCAGGACACATGCTGCATGTAAATGGTTTCTCGCCTGTATGTGTTCTTAGATGGTACTCTAGCGTATTTTTCTTGCTCAAAACCTGTAATGCATACGTAATACATCATTTCAATTTGAGCCCTTAACCAAGCTGCTGAATCTCATTTAAGTATGAAGAAAACTTCTTATACCATTGGAAATTTTGCTTTCTGCTTACAAAAACCTGCTGGTGCTGGTGGTCACAGCACAATTCCCCATTTGTTCTGGTTCACTTAAAATCATCATTTTCCCATGAACAGTAGATCATCAGTCACAATCATGAACTTTTATCAGCTGTATGTGTCCACAGAATCATAGAATGGGGACATGGAGGAAGGGAAGGAGAATTTTATGACACAATCTGTGAATGCTCTCTGTACTACCACCAAAAATAACATTTCTCCACTATATACAAAGAATGGGTAGTATACACACCAAAAGCACCACAACATAGATTTGTTTGACCAATGAATACCTCAATTCTAAAGGGTTTCGACGATGGTAGATTACACTTAAAATTCGTTATCAGGACTTTTTCCATCATCTATACCTTAAAACCCACGATGTTTCAGACGTTGGTTCTGTCTCCATCTTCAGGTGAGAGGTACCTACTCTGTTGGGTACCTTAGATAGAGCTAGTCTCCGAAATATCGTGGATTTTAAAGAATAGACTATGGAAAAAGTCTTGACAACAAATTTCAGTTAATACCTGTTTTGCCACCCCACTGCCATAAGAACTGAGCCAAAATAATTACAGTTGACCCTAACAGCAATGAAAACAAATAAATAAATAATGTAGCTGAGAATGTTTTATATAGCAAGAACTGTCTTGCAGAGATTGGCAGTTGGCAAAACAACCCTGTTCCTTACTTCCTGTTTGCAAAAAAGAGGAAGTTTGAAGGTCAGACTTCTTACGTTGCCCAATGGCTAACACAGCTAATTCCAACAATGTTGCCAAGTCTATTGCTGCATCTTGTATATTCTCATGTGTGCAGAAAGCACTCTGGTGGGCAGAATTTATATAAATATTTAAAATAAACGAGGTGCCTTCATAAACAAAATTTTCGTAATGTTACTTTGGCTATTAACACACAAATTCAATATAAGGTACCTTTCCACATATGTGACATGGAAAGCTGTTGTCTGTATGCATTGCCACATGACTTTCCAATCGCTGCTGTGTTAGAAACATCCTATAACAAATTGGACATTTGTACGATGATGATGAAGATGCTATCTCTTCCTCCTCTTCCTTTATCTGCTTCACTAAGAATGACGGCTTCACACCCAGCAGTTCCTCCCTGCTATGGTTCCTAAGGCAAAACCACAAAACAAGTACATATTTCATGTTAAAAGTACTGACTGCTCTGAAATGCAAAACTGATAACCAAAATTATATTTTTAAATCTTCAGTGCATCTCAGTCTACAAAGACATTCACACTTAATGTTTCCCACTTTATTATAGCCATCCTTCATTATATGTTTAATTTATGTGATCTTATCCATAGTATCTTAATTATATTTTCTTCATGGAAGCCCTCATTTTAAATGTTCAAATCCATATTATTAACCCTTTGAAGCCATAGCATGTCCCAATAATATTTAAAAACACGGTTTTTACCTCAAAGAAAACATAGCACATATCCGTTATAAATATCATTTGGTTAAAATTATTGTCGGAAATAATCGCGGTTTATTCTGAGAATCAAACAAAACCCATAAATACAGAATTACTGATTGAAGATGGCTGACTTCTGGGTTGTCCCATGTATTTGTCTGAGTCCAACTGTGATTATTAATAGTACTGGAAAATAAAACACGATTCTGTTAGTTTTAATTCAAGTATGCTCTGTATTGCGGTATTGTAGCAGTTTTGTTTCATGTGGATGTATAATTGCATTGAAAAATGAAATTCATTTCAATTGTACCAAGTACTGCACCAACATAATCCCTTGATCTTTTGAAGCAAATAATACTATAAAATTCAGTCCATGACTTAAAGGAAACACAACATTTCTCCATTGCAAAGATCATTTGGTTAGGGAAATAATTACTGTTTATTCTACAATACTCATGAATATAAAATGTTGAATAATTTATTGTTAAATCAGTTGGTTTTGTTTTTTATTTGTAGTGTTCTGTCTGACGACAGGTCCATATATTATGAACAGGATCCTTCCAACCTCTTCAGGTTGTCAGGGACCTGCTCATACATATATACATTCTTGGCAGAGATGATCAGAAGTGGTTTGCCATTGCCTTCTTCTGTGTGTGAGTGGAGTAATTGTTGGGATGCCACGGAGAAACCGGGGAAGCCCCCGGAGGAAAACTCTGTGATGCCTAGACCACGGCCTTACCCAACACAAGTTATAAATTTGAGCACCACCGGGAATTGAACCCGGGACCCCAGGCTTACAAGGCTAGTGTTCTGACCGCTAGACCACCGTGTTGGTACACACAGTTAAATGGTTAAAAAGAAAAAGGATTACTAACCTTCGATGACTTATGAGCTCTCCTCTATTTGAAAATGTCTCAAGGCAGACTCTGCATGTAAACCCTTTTTCTGATCTGTGTCGTTTGATGTGTGCCACAAGGTTCCTTTGGCGATTGAAACTGTGGTCACAAAGAGGGCTATTGTTTACTTTCCCACAGATACCACACTGAAACCTCTGTTCTTCAGTATGTTTTGGTTGTTGATTCTTCAGGTTATTCCTGTTTAACATTAGAGAGTAGTAAGCATTTTGAAAGGTTTACTGCTTGAAAGTAGCCAGATTTTTGTCAAGCCATACTCATATTTCTAAAATGTGTTAACCCACTAGGTCTGACTTGCAGGCCAAGTGAAATGTCAAACATCTACCCACTACTCTGACTCTAGTAGTCTTGGCCCCATAGTTGTTTGAATACAGTTACCAGACCATTTAGTGTACCCATTAAAGGACATAAAGGATCCATGGAGGTCAAATTTAGGATAAGAATATCTTTCAAAATACTAATTTCTAAAAGCCAATGCTCAATGTAAACATTAGATTTTAATGTAACTTACAATTCCAATCATAAAAATATATGTGGAATTATCGTTTCAGATAATTATAATGTAATTAACTTAGAACTGTGCAATTTAGGCAAACTGTACATTTGCTTCAAGTATTTTAGTACTTGGATGTTGAAAAGTAACAAAGGCTAATTGTACCAAACAATATTTCAGTACCTGCTACCTTGGATTACATGAACACAGACATGTGTGAACTAGGCTTTCGACATCTTTATACTGTACTACCTGTTTTGCAAGAGACGTTCTGGGGGGTCTACAGAAGATGTGGTCAACAGTACCTTTTTTCTTTGGTGCTTTGCAGTCAATATATGGTGGTAAGGTTGGAAAGTTTATTCTAATGGTCATGGTGATGGAGAGAGGGGATGCTGTAGGTATGTAATATGCTGATCTTTTTCAAGTATTAGTATCTTACAATCAATTCTGTTACATTATACTGCATATCATTTAGGTGAAAACGTTAGTTAACACTTGTGGATCGTACGTAAGATGGCTGAAAATTGTAATGGCAGTAGAATATGAGGTCAAGATAATGGAAAATTTTGAGAATGGATAATTGGTGACAGCCTAAGGTTATGGGGTACAGACTGACTAGTTGCACCAGCCTGACCTCAGAACTCTACCTAATAGGATTATGGAAACAAATTTATGGTGTCAGTGCTGTCAAAATGAGAAAAAGGGGTGTGGGGTGAGAGTGAAATTTATACATCAGTCTAACAGTTCAGAAAAACAAACAACCATTACATACTATTTGACAAAATAAATGTCATTTGCTTTAAAATTTCTGAAGTAATTTGTGAAGTTCTGTGAATGCACCAAACAAAAATATTTTGGATTATGCGTATTTATATATTATTCATGCATCTTATCCCCGTCATTACATCATTGGCCTGAATAATAGGGAGTTTACTGTAAAGTACAAATAATCTATGAGGGAGTAAGTGAATGCCAACACTACCTTCTCTGTTCCTTATGAACAGTTTTCTGGTGCTCCTCTAGTTCTTGTTCAGAATCAAACTGATTGCCACAGACAAGACACTGAAACTCCTGTAGCTGCTCACAAGCATGTTCCCTCCAGCCTTGTTTTGTAGTTGCCACATGATTGCACCATTTACACTGCCAAACCTTGCACTTCCAGTATTTTTCTCCCTCAGTCTCTGTTTCTACAATCACAGGACACTCTGGATTTGAACTAACATTTTCCGAAAGCTTCGTTTTCTTTGCAGGTTTTGTGGAAAACTCAGATTTGTCTTTTCGTTTACCATGGTCATCAGATTGGTCTGTGAGGCTGCTGTAATTTGAACTTTTCTCAGCTGTAACTGAATTTGCTTTTTCATTATGATGGCTTTTAACGTGCTCATCAAAATCTTCTTTCAGTTCATAAACTAGTACGCAGTGCTCGCAGCCAAATACTTCATTATTATGGACAGAACTTTGGTGTAAGATGAATTCATTTTTACCTGCTATACTTTCATCACAATAGATACACACATACTTTATTTTATCCCAATCTGCATATTTTTTAACATTGTCCTCATCAGTTTGCCCTTTTGCTTCCTGTTCATCAGTTTTCATAGTCTGTTCTTCTTTAGCATGAATCTCACTTTCCTGGGTCAAGGATGTCTGCTGATATCCTTTACCAGAAACTCCATCATTCTGTGGTTTCTTCACACTGAAATGATAAATAATGAATTAGCAGTTTTAGAGCTGGCCCTCCAGTAAAGTAAACACATCAGTACAGTAATATTATTCAAAGGATAAATATTGTAAAATATTGTTAGTCACAAAATTCAACTAAAACAGTTGCTTGCTGGCCACCCTCTCCCAGCCTCCCACACTGCCTGCTTGTGGCAACATAACTGCTGGTAATTTTAGTAATACTAGGGCAGAACGCTCCTTTCGGAGCTCCTCGGAGGGGCTGGTCAAGTTTTTATTGCGTTTTAAAATCTTAAGTAAGACACTAAACTCGGCATTGTTGTGTTCCACAACAATGCCGAGTTAGTTTATAGTTGACATTGTTGATGACGTCATTCTTTGACGACAACGGGGAATCACAAATTTTTATAGTAGAAAATAAATACAAGCTCCTGAAATGAGTGAGCTTATTGTTGAATTAGCATATTAGACCCTGACCAAGGAGTTGTCTGTCTGAAGCAACACTTCCAAGCCTCACTGTGATTACAGTAGTGTCAGAACTGGGCAGTTACTGACACGGCCAAGGGACTGGAAAGAACTATATTGCAACATAAAGAAAGCATTTATATCCAGATAATCAGGACTGTGAATTGTGAATTGACAGACATTAGTCCAGGAAATAATAAATAGTAATGATACAAAATAAATCCATCTTGTGTTTCAAACAAAGAACCCACTGACACATTACAATATGAAACAAATTCTGTAATTTCGATGTCAGAAGTTCTCTGTATGAAGGTTGTAGTGTATATAAATGTATATTCTGTATGTCTAAATGTACGGGACTATCTGTAAGGTATTGTAGATGCGTCATATTGTGAATTAATAGTATTAAAATATTTAAAAATAACCGTCAATCACAATAAAATTAAAAGATTAAAAGATTAAAATATCATATTATGTTCCCTATCGAGTACTCGATTTACATATGGAACTTACACAACATGTTTCGGCTATATATAGCCATCATCTGGTGTTTTGTATATAAACTTTTCACTAAATTACTTTTAAGGATTTTTTAATGATTTTCCTTATCTGTGTTATATGTGATTAAAATATTCCAGACAGAAGGAAATACAGCAACATTGTGGCAGGTAAGCTGAGCCTGTCAGTGCATATCGAGACATATTTGCCTCTATGTGTAGTTAATGGAACTAATAAATTGCTGTTACATAGTCCACTTTACAGAAACAGGTAAGCTGCTTAACACACAATCCATTTCATGTGGAAGTCAACAACAGAAAATGTGTATATCTATTAGTTTCAAGCACTTAAACAGAACCACCTGATGATGACCATTTAAGGTTGAAACATGTAGTGGATTCTTAATAAACATTGAAACTATTATCAAGAATAGTTGTGTAGACAGACTGTATACCTAACAAAAGATGGCCAGCTTCATACAAACTTTGGCATTCTCTGTCTTCAGAACCAGAGTTATAAAAGACAAACTACTTTATCCTTTTACTTTTGTCATGCCAACCTATGATTGTACCAAGTGTCATTCAAATAAAAATTTAACTGACAAAAACTTTGGTAAAGTTTGTTGATCTGGGATGGAATAACACGCATTAACAAAAAGATTTTCCAACAAGCAGTAGAGAATCCTGGGATCAAAATCATGATTTACATGCTCCCTTAAAAGCTTCATTTCTAAAAGTTAAGATAATTGTGAAATCGCCATTTTGAGGCTGCTACCAATACTTTAACATTCTGTTTTCAAAGGAACATTCTATAAGCCAGGGTGGCTCGGTCAATATAGTGACTGACTACGAACTGAGCAACTGGACTTTGATCCCTGATGGGGACAGGATTTTTCCTCCAGCCTCCTGTCCAATGAGTACTGGGGTCCTTTCCTAGGGTAAGTGTGGTCATGGCTGATGCTGACCACTCACCCCTCTCTAGTGTCAAGGTTAGTAATCAGCATAACTTTAGCTTACATTAGTGATTTTTGATTTGTCGTGTTGAGAACTTTATATGTCTTTCCTCCTGTTTTTAGAAACTTCATAGCCTTCTGCATTTGTGTATCAGGTGAGACTGTGTTTGACTTCTTCATTTTCAGCAAAATCACCTTGTAACCTGCCTTCACCTGAAATAAAAAACATATATGTATACCAGTTTTTTTATTTACAACACAACTGCACACCTGTAATTGCTTCCTTCTACATTGAACACATCATGCCAGAAAGGCATATCAGCATAGAGTAGGGCACCGCTTATACGGCGGGTTAGGGACCAGACCCCCGCCGTAAAGCGAAAATCGCCGAAAAGCGGATCTTTGCCTTATTTCACTTGCAAATGCATATCAAAGCCTAATAAGATGTTACACTATCATATAGTAAGTGCACAATAGCGCTAGGCCTAAGAAAACAATATGAAATTAAAATGAATATCAGTAATACACACATTGTCCTCAGCTTATAGTGATTGGTGAATATAAATTTGAAAATTGATATGCTTATAGTAGGAAGGATGAAGGAGATGGTGCATCTTCATCATCTGACTTTTCAACGAATCTTATTCGTTTTGGTGATGGTTCGGATGCCATAGACATGCCTTGTTCACGAAGTTTAATCATCTCTAACGTGGCATTTAAAGTAAGAGGCTTACGACTCCTCTTTTTATCGCTACTACCCTTAGACGCCATTGTAATTACACTGTAGTAACACAAAAATATTATATAAATATACAGTTTGTAATAACTGAAAAATTGCCAGAAATACAGAGATTGAGCGCCGTATTAGTGGAGCGCCGAAAAGCGGGGCCCTACTGTATTTCCATAATCATAAATACTCGTTCTAATAACATAAAGTAATGGGATGTATGTCATGCCAGAAGGGCATAATGCTGATTCTGCTCTACACAGAGATACGCAGTTACATTTGGGCATATAAACACTAATAAAGCACATTTGTCAAAGTAAATAGGCATAAGAATTTAGTCTCCTCTAAATAAGTTGTATTGTTGATATGCCTGTCTGCATGAAGCCCTTGATGTGTCTGATTACAAATACCTCCTACCTCAGGTTTTGCACCACTTTTCTGGTCTGCATTGTGTTTATCATCCAGTTGAGGCTTTTCTTCAGTTTCTTCTGGCTTCTCTTCTTTAAATCTCTTTGTGTCTGGTTTTATCAAATCATCTTGTGACTGCTCTAATTTCTCATTGGAATCAATTGAACCAGGACTCTCTGGTTTTGTGTATCCGTACAGTTCCTATAACCAAATTTATACATCCTTAATTGAAAACTGTTTTTTTTTAATAGCTAAAGAGAACTGTTATGCACTTTTCTGTGTAATAGTCCAAAACAATTCATCTGGAGGAAAGATGCAAAGAAGTACCTTGAAGCCTAGTTTCTTATTAATAATAAGGTAAGTCAAGTACGAAATCACTCTGTCTTTCATGCCTAATATTGTACAAATCAATTCATGAAACTAAGTAAAATGGCTGTCTCTGTAGGTTACCCTGGCTGCATTCATGCAGGTCCTTGAGATGATAAGAGCATTCAATATATAATATCCTGAAATATTATGTTAAGATTAGAAATTTGAAAAATATGGAACTTATATTTTGGTACTTTTGTTCAGAATGGGACATAATATTGATGTTCTTTCAGTTCAATTCCTTAATAATCACCATCAGGAACAACAGTAGTAGGCTGTGTGTGTTATCAGTCCTATATCATATGAACCCCAAAAGAGAACATGTTTTACCTCATCAGTTGGCATTACATCAAAGCCCAGAATACTCCGTAATCTGGCATCTGCATCCAAACAGTTGATCACCAATTCATGACATATTTCCAGCTTTGAGACACAGGAAGTACAGATATTAATTGGCAGTAAATCATCTTCAGTAACCTGTGCATAGGAAGTACATTCTGACAGTTATTCCTCCGTACATTTTATATACTAGTATCCTTAGCTGTATCTCACTACTTCTAAGCTGTTAACATGTGCCTCAAAAAGTTATGGTTATAAACTGTGATAAAATATAAATTATTTCCAGAGCTAAAACTCTATAGACAAAATTAACTACCCCATGGAAGATGTAATATTACTACACCAGATTTTTCTCATCTCATCCTTTGTTCAGTAATATTACAATGGCTACATTGTTATTACAGCATTGGAAGCATTTTTATCTTAGAACATACCATAAATAGTTTTATTCATATATTTATGTATTAATATTCCTGAAATACAGCTTTATAATAGTATATCTGAGTATCAAAATTAAAATCAGTCCCTTCATCATCATAATGTGAATAAAAAATCTTAAAATGTTGCATACCGTGCAGTGTTGAATATCTAAAATATAAAATTATGCATACAAACAAAACTGTTTATACTTTAAAGTAATTGGAATTGACAGAGAAAATATTTTGAAAATATATCTTCATGAGCAGCTACAATTATAATATCCCCATGCCCATTCAGTAATATCTAATATGTCGTATATATCATGCTTTAATTCTGAGATAGCCATTTGGACACAACCCACCCACTTTCAGCTGCTTGAGTAGCATGTGGTTTGTCTTAACAACGTACTTTCTTACAGGAATTAAATAGAAGACTGTAGCCATCCAGGTTCACTGTAATTTTATATTAAGAACTACTTTAATACAAACAATTAAGCTTTGTTTTTATGCCATATCTTGTAACGTGCTGTCATTATATACTACCCAAATACAAGCTACACTTTTTATGATTAGATTTTTAAGATCATGTCTCTTAATCACATGACAGCACTTCCTCTACCTCATTCTTTGCAACGCTAAGACTTCATACTGTTTGTCCCCGTAAAAAACAGTTTTACCATGATAGGCAGATGAGTGTGTATCTTATCGACCAGCTGAATTTCCCTTCCTCTGTCTCCAAAACATTGAATCATATCTTCACTAGCTTCAGCGCAGACTCGACATAGCTGACTTGCCAATAAAGCAAGATCCTCTTCACTGTCCCAACTTCTGCTGTCACCTTCATTCTGCGAATCTGAGTCATCCATTGAGCTTTCATCACTCATAGTGGAGTTTTATAAACCTAGAAAAGGTGTTAACAAATAATACCCTATAAATAATTCTGAGCTATTTACTTTCATCACACTCCAGTCAGATGTGTGAAATTGCCACTACACTGAGGCTCCATATTGTGAGCTTATAGAATAAATTAAACTAATGCAAGATACTTTTTAATCCCTTCTGTGCTAACATTTTCTCATGTGAAGACATCCTGTTTTCTGTTTTGTATGGGTGCAAAACATGGTCTCGCACTCTGAGGGAGGAACACAGATTGCAGGTGTTTGAGAATCGGGTGTTGAGGAGGATATATGGGGTATGGAGAAAGCTGCATAATGATGAGCTTAAGAATTTGTACTCCTCCCCCAGTATTGTCAGGGTGATTAAGTTGAGAAGAATGAGATGGGCAGGGCATGTAGTGCACATGGATGGGACAAGATGTGTGCATCAGGTATTGGTTGGGAAGCCTGTAGAGAAGAGACCGCTGGGGAGACCTAGACGTAGATGGGAGAATAATATCAAGTGAGATCTGTGGGAGATTAGAAGTTGAAGGAGACTGGAGTTTGTTGGCCCAGGACAGGGACTGGCAGAGGGCTTTTGTTAATTCGGTGATGAACCTTCAGATTCCGTAAGCCATCTAGTTAGTTAGAAGACATCCCATAGGTTTCCACTTAAAGAAGCTAAAGTGATGTGTGCAACAGAAAAAATTGCATCGTCAATAACTCTGGTATGTTGTCCTATGCTACTGACTATACAGTTCATCAGTAGTGCAGATGCTAGGTATTTTCTCACATGTGAATACCCTTGTCTGAATTTCCTCTCTGTTGTATAATAAAGGTAGGTATGCCATGAACAAAACAGCCCATAGTTATATATTTAGACCAAACAGTTTTACTGAAATCTTACAAATTTTACAAATGTAAGTTATTTCCATGGTACGTACATAAAATCACTTTTTCCCACCTATTTATAATAATAATTCCTTTCCAGAGAATTCAGGGACTACTCTCCCACACTTCCAACATCTGATGCTGCATGAATTTACATCCCTATAATATATCCAGCAAACTTATATTTTCATACTGCGGCAGTATGCCAGTTCACTGTGAATCATGCAGCAAAACCTCTTTTATGCAAATCTACCTTCCCTCATTACACTTCGTATTCTTCTGTATGATATATTATTATCGTCATCTTTAAGGATTGGTTCTGTAGAGATGTTATATAATTTTGGAAAATTAATATAATGGAATGGGTACCTAATAGAGTTCATATAGATAACGTTCTGTCAGATCCCTTCTCAGAGCACAGCGGCCTAAAACGGGATGTTCTGTCCCCAGTGCTTTTTAATTTTGTTCTAGAACATGGTCTCTTACCTTGAAGGAAGAACTTACATAGATTACAAGTGTTTGAAAACAAGATGCTCAGTAAGATATCTGGACCTAGGAAGGATTATATAATTTGTAAAATTATTTTTCATACTTGTATTGCAGAATCTGAAATTTATGTACATTGATATGTGAAATACGTTCTTGTACTTGTGTTGAAAGTTGTGAAGTGTATGTATATTGTATGAAATGACATGTTCTACATCCTTTGGTTGAGTCCTAAGAAGGATCTATGGAATGTAAATAAACTCTACTCTACTCTACTCTCTAGTGGGGTGCTGTTGTGTGCTGAGAAATACATAGAATCCCAAGGACACTTTGAACAATTACTGTGATATTGTTTTGTTATTAATAAGTGTGTGTGGGCTAGAGTAAAAGCTTGAAAGCACCTGTGTTGTTTGGAATTCTATTATGAATACTAATGTTAACAAATTGGAACACATCCATCAGAGTTTGCAGAAATTTCTTATAATTGTTAATTTCTTTGTGCCATTACATCACTTTAATGTATTCAAAACACCACACCTTACATGAGAAGATGTATCACCTTAATGCAATGTTCCTTATTTAAGTTTGCTTTGGTTTTAAATTCTGTCCTCCCACACAGGAAATTTTGTCTTCAAGTCCGTACTCAGTATCTCCGACACTTTCATATTTTCATTGTCAGCTCTTTGATTACAAATTATCTTATTCTTAGCATTTGTCCTGCTTTGGCAGGGTCTGCTTTTTTCCTCTCTTTTTGGGGGTTGTGTGACCTATTTAGACACATTTGGTAGAACTCCTTGGACAAGTGATCAGCCCGTCGCAAGGCCTCTACCTGTACAACAGCACAACACAGAAAGACGCGGACAAACATCCATGACTTGAGAGGGATTCAAACCCACAGCCCCAGTGTCCAAATGGCACAAGGCCCACACCTCAGATCACACGGCCACTGCGACCAGCCTTTGATTAAAAATTATGCATCAGCTGCTATTATTGTCTGTTTGGACTCTCAAATATTTAAAACAAAAACTTTCAATCATTTTATTGGACCCAGAACATTTGGCTTCATGAAAAGTGTATCCACTGAAGATGCAGCCTTCAAAATAACAGACAATATGCTAAAATCCATTAACCAAAAAAATGCATGTTGTTTCACATAAACAGTGTTTTCACAACAGCGTGTGGAATAAGTCATACAAATATGATACACATTATATTATAAGTACTATCCATACTATTATAAAATTTCACATAATTATGTCATCTCACTGAACATGTGTATCCATGGAATGTAATGAAGATCTATGAATCTAAATAAATAAAGAACTGGATTGAACAAAGTTATTATTGTTGGTGTTACTGGTCTTGCACTGCTCCTGTAGTTTTTTAAACAAGGTTCAGCTATTCTCAGTATGTCATAAGTTGTACTATTCTCTAAACATTAAGGTTATGAGATCAAGGAGACTGCTGTTATAATGTATACCAAGTTATAAATAACTGGTGTTCCCACAAGAAACAATTACTTTCTTGGTATTCATCATTAAGAGATTGATAAATGCATTCATATGTTGGTTTATTTGAATTCAGAATACATTATACCATATTTTCTATTTTGACAATACTGTTAGCAAACTGTTCCCTTTCCCCTACTCCCATGTCTTAACTTCTCAACTTCATCATTTGTATCAAAGATAAATAAGCTAAAAATTAAGGGGTTTGGTTTGCTACTATCAGTCTAAGAATTGTAAAACATTAACACGTTTCTTTAATTGGATTTAAATAACTAAGAAATAGGTCTGTGAAGACTGATAATCAAAGTGCGATTATAATAAAGCTTAATATTGTGTAGGCCAACGAATGTCGGGGGTGAAATGCGTTGGTGATAAATTTAAATTTTCAGAATTTAGGACATTATTACAATGTATTGAATTTTCAATACTTCTATTTGGAACAATAACCATAACGACAAAGTACAACCAAAACACTTCACCCAAGGTTATGGGCAATCATTTTCATGGAGGCCCAGAGATGGTTACAAAAAGTGCACTATACAAAGATTTCGACACATGGAAATCGGCAAAGATTTGATATGCCATTATCATGTCACCCCTAAAACAGATATGAGATAATCTTTGCTGAAGAGATTCTGTTTACTGAATTATTGGTCGACGGTTATAAGCCGTGTAAGCAGTCTTTGCAAGCAGTGATAATAAGAGGTGTAATAAGTCGACTCGTAAACTCACCTGCGAGTACAAGTAAAATGCAGAAAACCGGTGTATGTTCAGTATGAAAAACAAATCAATTCAACAGTAAAATGAAGCCGATTAGCATGAACTGACATAAAATTACACAGATTTGAACAAACCGTGTAACGTATACAGACATGAAGCGGGAATGCTTTTCATTGATACTCAGTCGCTAGACATCGCAACTCCCATACCATGGCCTACCTAGATAATACATCCGTGTATTTCCTCGAGGTATTATGCGACTACATCATACGAGTCTCGAGCAACATACTCGCACAAGAACACGTGTAACCAATCAATAATTATCAATGTCGGGTTTTTTGTTTCTATGTCTTCACATGGTCGTAGCAGATATTGTGGAAGATATATGGACGAGTCTGAAAATACAAAAATTTTCTCTCGACAAATTTATAATCACCAATATTGAATGAATCACATTGATCAAATTATTCTGAAGTTAAGTGTGACATGTTAACATTTAGACGAATGTTTCATATTCTCAATATTGACAGTCTACAGGAGAAATTAAAAGAGTAGAGTAGAGTAGAGATACCTGAGTACACACACCTTTTATTCTGTTCATGAGTTTCTGCACTTAAAAAATAGTTAATTGTCCTTTTAGAGATTATTTACTTGTATAGTAGGCGTTATTAACATATTTACTGTGTAGCAGTGGATTTATATAACATTTTAATATTTTTCTGTTAACCTTTGTCAATAAAATCTCCTCGGGCTATAAGCCGTATCAGTTGTGGACAAAAGCGGAACGTTTCGGAAACCATTTTCGCCTCCATCAGAAGATTTTATAGACTTCAGTTGCCGTCAATTTATGTAACGACGCTTTTTTCTGTACCTGAGACTAGCGTCGAAGCAAAGGATAATAGTGAATTTGAAATGATGTAGAACGAAACAGTAATTAGCCTGGAAGGGCCCTCAAAAAACCACGAAAAATTCCAGTCAGGATAGTCGGTCTTTGGGCCGAGATTTCAACCCAGGACCTGTGTGTGTGCGCGCGCGTGCGTGCGTGCAAGCAGGGTATCCAACATTAGTCAGGTTTTTTTAAAGAATTTCCGCCCTCTCTGTTTTTAGCCATGTGCAGTTTTTTTTAGATCTTCATCGTTAAAATACAACTGTCATAAGCAACAATGAGAACGGCCCTATAATATGATTTATGTATATTTTTTTAACCTGAAACTGCTTACCAGATGGCCTCGACACATATTTTTAAGATTAAAGCCCATTCTTTACTGTGAATAGGCTTTTATAAAAATAGTGTTAGAACAAATTTAGGCCACAATTGCTTCTTATTCGTTAATCACATTACATTCCAAAGTGTTTTTTCCCCTACACAACACGGAGAAATTATCAGAATTGCATAAATATAGTTGTGTCGAACTGTATGTACCGTGGTTCACAAATTGGGTGAAGGTAGAAATTGTTCAAATATGATTACACATTTGTTGACACAGATGAGTTTTACGTTCATATGACAAGTCTGACAAAAATTCTTAGCGCTTATTGTGCTTTTAAGGAACAGTTTAGGGACTAGAACACATGTTCTTTTTTTTACCACAATGTTATATTCCCCTTCTGTAGCACGTTGTATTCATAACGACATATTGTTACAAAGGTTTTCCAACGCAGATGTTTCACCTGTTTGGCGCTGTGAGACACATATAAAGTGAACAGACATTTATTCGTAGAACGTTGGTTTCAGTGCAAACGAACACTGTTTGTCATTGGTTCGTGTGACCGTTGTGGATGTCGTGGTTTACTTTAATTGTGTTGGTTGGATGGTTTGTTTGTTGAGTCTGGTGTGCAGATATCTGCTATTATATAGCGTTAGGGATAATTTAATCCTATAACTCATTTTGTTGTCTTTGCAAATGAGTTAGTAAATATGAGTAATAGACGATGTGCAGCGAAAACGTGCTTCAACACCCAAGGATGTCGACCTAACCTTAAATTTTTTAATTTCCCTAAAGACGAGCAGCTGTAAGTTGTGATGAAACCGAATAATCGTTAGCCATTGGTCATTGGTTGTTGTGACCATTGTGAATGTCGTGGTTTACTTTAATTATATTGCTTGAATGGCTTTTTTGTGGAGTGTGCTGATCAGATCTTGGATATTATATAGCGTTACGAATAAATTAATAATACTATTAATTGTGTTATCTTTGCTCATGCATTAGTAAATATGAGCAATAGGCGGTGTGCAGCGAAAACTTCCCTCACCATCCAAGAATGACGACCTAACCTTAATTTTTATAATTTTTTAAAAGATCAGCAGCTTTAAGTTGTGATGAAACATAATACACCTATAACTATTATGTATGACATGCTCTGATAAATATATTAATGTTACAATAACACGTAGGAGTTAAAAGTTGTTGAAATTTAATTTTGATATGTTCTGTTTTTAAATTGTCCTTCTCTGTGCAGTACCATTTTTAATTTTTGTTTCCAGCTGCCATCAGTGGGCCATAAATAGTGATAGAGAGGATCTATTGGACAAGCCTGTTGAGCAATTAAGCAAATTTTTGTTATGTGCTGACCATTTTGAACCACATTGGTTTCTAAATCCCAAATACAAGACTACGTTTATCCGTACAGGACAACCTGTGCCTACAATCTTCTACAATAATCTAGCAGATTTTGTTCCAAAGAGCTTACAGAAAAGTTTTGCACTGAAGAATACAGATCATCATTTAGGTACTGAAGTCATAGGTATGATGATTTTGATAGTCTGTTGAATTTTTATAGTTATTACATATCTTGTTATTTTCAATGTGTTGTCAATCCTGTGGAGTATCTGATAAAAACATATTAGACATGAAGAGCTGGTTTATGTATCCCTGTAAAGAATAAGAGTTTAAATGGGTGGTAGAGGTAGGTTATGCATATTATAGACATGATTGTTGAACTGATGTAGAACAGTTGTCACAGTGAACTGTTAGAACTAGTGTGCAGTGTGTAACACAGGTGCACCTATCATTAGATTTTATGAATAATACAAAAGGATTCAAATGATATTAAGGGGTTACTAAATTTTATTTTACTCTTTACATTTTTCCTTCTTCTTTTTTCTTTCTTACATTGAATATACTTTATACAGTTCATGACAAATTTCTCTTTGGACTAGGAGTCAGAGAGTTTTTTTACCATCTTGGTTTTATATTTCATTAAACTAACAAAATAAATGTGCTGCATAACCTCTTCAGTTTTCATAGTGATAAGCTATAAAACAACCACTTGCTTGTATCTCTATCCATTCCTTGTCTGTCCTATAAAAATGAGTAGTTACAGTTTGTAGGAAATTATGAATATTTTAATATTGAAAATTATTGGAGGTGCAAATATAGGCAATGGACAAGCAAACAATTAACTGTGTAGGATTTGAGGTTTTCACATCAGGGAGTCTGAATATGGCTGTCTTCTGGGTTGCACCATGTAGTCTGGCAGAAGTTTACTATTGTTTCAGAGGTCCTTGCTGCCTCAGTCATCAGGACAATGAGTAAGACTCTAACAGACTACACGGTGCAACAACCCAGAAAACAGCCATCTTCAATCAACTGATTTTCCTTTTAATGTTTCATGATTATATTCCTTATTCTTCATTGCCTCTAATCAGTTTCATTAGGAAATACTAAGCCAAGTGATTTTGTACAATGTATTTGTCATTCTTTTAAGGAATGAATGATTAGGTTATGCAGCGTTGTGAAATGACATTTCATTTTGTATCAGTGTGGAATGACCTTTAACTTGTTTATTGCTATGTTATTAATTATAAAGGGTGATGTATGGCTTAATATCTTAACTTCATGACTTTATTCCTGTGGTTCGTCCCTGTCAGAAATTTTATGTAAACACCAGTCCAATAGATTCATTCCTCAGTGGTTACAGATTTATCATTGAATGTAACTGAGACGATTGAACAAGTTCTTATGTCACGTTTCTATTGCTGAATTTGCATTAAGTATTTAAAGTGGCTACCCTCAGCTTCCACACACATCTTGGCACATCTGTGAATCAAGCATATAGTTTGCATCAGTTCATTACTATTCTCCTTTGCATGGGTTTTAGCATCCAAAATGTGAGTGAGCAAAGCAATGGAAACAGGTGTCAATCCTAGTGAAATTATGCAAGCTGCATGCATGATATAAAGATGTCAGGATGTGTTCTGAGGCTTAAGGTGGTCATTATGAATATTTATAACTTTAGCTATACAATTTTGTGTTCTGTTCTTGTTCACTAATGATAAACCCATAACTATTTGAGAATCAGATGTTCTGACTGGGAATGATCTCAGGAATAAGCTCTTGAAGTTAAGATATTTAAATCATGAATCACCTTTATATTGTTTTATGTTTTCAGATCAAGGAAATTGCCTGTGCCATAATATGAACGTTTTTGAAAATGATGTGGAGAACTCTGTACAGCAAAGTACAGAAGAATTAGAGGCGATCTTGAGAGATGGTGATGCATCTGATGGTTCACAGTTTAAGTTTGCAACATCAGATACTCAGACAGATGCAGAGGACTGTACTGTGGAAATAAAATTTGATTTAGATTCTTATGTTGAGGATTCGTCTGCTATAAGAGGCTGTCACAAAATTTGCAGGCTCTGTGCACATCTGGTTTATGAATACAAATTAATTTCAATTTTTTCTCCAGACAAAACAAAGTGTTTGGCAAATAAAATGAACAGACTTCTGCCAGAAAAAGTGAGTAACACGGTTGAATACTGTGTACAGTGAATTGATTTTTACGTAGCAAAAAATATTTTTTTAGTTACTTATTCATCTAGTTGTAAATGGTCTTTGTCCAAACCCATGTTCAGTTTGGTTTGAGTTTCTTCAAGTACAGCGCCGTATTAATTTACAAGATTTTGGAGTATAGAAGTGATAGCTGACTAAGCTGAATATTGTATGTAAATAAAAATTATACTTCACAGCACATTTCCATTATTATATTCACTGACTGTACAGAACAGGGAATGTGACCTATATGTAATAAAGAAGGCTGAAGTCATTTACTGAGATGAGAAGAAACCAGGAGCTTGTGGACAAAAGAATCACAAGTATTAAACAAAAATCTATTCAGAAGGATAACAATAATTAAAGATAATGATGAACTGAAAAACATTGGATTGTATTTAAACAAGTGTAAAGAGAAATGGAAAAGTTCATTGATGAAGTATGAGGAGGAATAAATCATAAACTGAGGGGTAGCAAAGAGGAGAGATAGTTGTATAGTTTAAAATTAAAGTAGAAAATGTAAAACGATTGTAAAGATATGTGTAAGTGGTCATAAGACCAGGGAGTCATGCCCAACATTGTAAACTGTAAGCGACAGACTTTATAAATGTCAGTGTCATTGAATATTCTTTCTTTGGCTTCAAGGAATAAGAGACAATTGGGCGATGAAAATTGCCTGCATTTCACTCAGATTTACTTTTTATTTAATGCATTTAACTAAGCGGTATATACTGTCTCAGGATGTTGCTGCTCAAACAACTGGAACTCTACAGTTTTCTTTTTTGCACTGCAACACAGTAATTCCAGGATGATTGTGTAAAATCTATAAAATATTTTTGAATAACTGTGTGGGCTGTATCTTAAACAAGTGGTTTACTGATGTTGGTTTTTGCAAACCAACACTCACTATCTATACACATTATTTTGTTCGGCTCTTGTATTTTCATGCAGAATACACTTTCGCAGTGTCTAGTGATAAAAAAAATTACACTGTACAAGGAATAGTTGACCCATATAAACTCTCACAGAAGTAAACTAATATTTTGTGAGGTTTGAGGTTTACCAATGTTTCAGAGGTGCTTGATGCATCCGTCATTAGGACAATGATGGCTGACGCAGCAACATTTTGTTCAAATTATGGGCTGCATGAATGAAGAGTTTTTATTAAATTTAATCTTGTAAGAGTATACAATAAAATTAACGCTTTATTGCAGGTCTTGGAAGGAGATGGGTTGCCTGAACATATATGTAATTCATGTGTGAACAAATTGAATGAATGTGACATGGTGATCCAGTCTTTCATAGCAGCTGACAAAAAGTTAAGAAGTTTGTTTCGAATGCAGAATTTCATACCAGCTACAACCGATGAAGAAACATTTAAGGTGATTTAATTTGTGTTTATTAGTTTGTAATGTACTTGTACATTTATTTTCTGAAGACCAGGATTTATCCTCTTTCACTTCTTTATTCTTATTTTTAATCCCGAAACCAATGTGTTGAACTTTTATCATGTGCTTTTCACTCTTAGGTACATTACTTATTATAATTATAATATGAATACATGTTTGTAATCTCTCTCACCATGCCTTTAGCATGTAGAATATATGGTATGCACTGGCAGGATACATTATGTTGTTTATCTGTAATGAAATGGGAGAGTAATTACTTGTTAGGTAATCTGAAAATTTATTAGTGGTAGGGCATTAAGTGTGTCCCACTATACGCCATGTAGGCGTTTGGAGTGAGTGGAGGTATAGCTCCTCTCTTCCTTGACCTCGGCACTAGATGGGGGTGAGTGGTCAGCATCACGCCCCGGGAAAGGACCCTGGTACCCATTGTAGAGGAGGCTGGGTGGGCCCCAGAGTCGGTCTGGACGCAGAGGCTAGAGGAAAAATCCTCTGCCCCCGTCGGGGATCGAACCCCGGTCGTCCAGCCCATAGCTAGTCACTATACTGACTGAGCTATCCCGGCTCATAGTGGTAGGGCATATAAACCTATAATGGACAGAGACATTTATATTGTATGTTCCAGAGAGAGTTCTGATTTTCAATAATCTGTCAGAATTTGTATTTGTCTTTTCCTGTTAAGTTTTGTTGTCATTGAAGAGTAGAAAATGCAGAGTATGAAATAAATGGTAATGATAGGATTTGAGGTTTTCATGGCATTGAGTCTGAAGATTACCGTCTTCTGGGTTGTTGCACCGTGTAGTCTGGTAGGTGTTTACCAACGTTTCAGAGGTCATACTGCCTCCGTCATCGCCCTGATGACAGAGACAGCATGACCTCTGAAATGATGGTCGACATCTACCAGACTACACGGTGCAACAACCCAGAAGACGGTAATCCTCAAGTAGTAATGATGACAGATACCAATTTGTCTCATCCACCAGAGAACTGTTGCAACAAAAATTTGAGTACATATCATTCTGAAGCACGTGGTTCTCACGCCAGTTGGTTTGACACTAAAGAAGTGTACAACCATGCTGCCTTACTTACTTGGATTTCCCTACTTTGTCTTTCCATTCGTCGTTGTCTACACCGATATCTTGCATGTGTTTTTGGTGTGGAGTCCGTGTCACCACTTTTTTAGTCAGTCCTTTGTTTCTTACTATGTGTAAGCATCTTGGAATATTGTGACAAGTATATTTCTTCAGTCACCAGTCCACATAAGATAGAAAGACTAGCAGAGCAGGTGCATGTAGGCAGTGCTGGATTTTATGATATGTTAGCATCCCCAGAAGTTAAATTTGGGCCAGGGAAACATACTATTCATGTACATTATTTGGGTACATTGGAACAATAAAGGTTAATAAGGAATTTGTATTTAATTTATTGTTTGTGTGTTACTGTTCTAGGATGATGAAGGAAATAGAAAATCGCCCACAGTTACAGTGGAGGACTCGGGGTTACCGCCTGGTCTTGCGGAGTTTCTTGCGCTAAAAGATAGTTCACCAGATGATAATTTGTTAGACAGGTAAATTTCTAGACTTTACTAGCTATAGTGCCATGAGGTTTATAGAGTATGTGTGTGCATAAAGGCACTCGGAAATACGCAGACCGAAGAGTCTTAAGTGCTTCTCCTCTTGGGTGTTTGCTCTTTTATTTTATTTAGTTAAGTTGATCAGTTTGATATGGTTTTCCATTTCAAGTATGTCATTTTTATACAAACCATTATTCTGAGATATGCATGTAAGAGTTGTAGTCATGATGGATGACATTTTCAAATCCATTCACTTTCAGTTGTTTTCTGCTTATTGGATTGTTTTGATACTTGTTTTTATAAAGAAAACACAGCAGAAAGTTGGGGGATGTAAGTCCCAGTAAGGATACCTGCATATTTATAGATCGATATGCTCTAGCTTTTAGATATATATATATATATATATATAGTCCGTACATTTGTGGGTATGAGTTTAAATGGATCACACTCTATTACTAAAGTTTTTCTTTCAGGCAAGTCAGTATTTTTTTTTTGCACTTTTATTTAAATTTTGTTCAGATTAAATAGGAATTATTATATTATTAAGTGTTCTGTCTTACGACAGGTCCATTGCTCTGCCCAAAAAGAGCTCTCCAGTTGTCCCTATTCTCGGCTTCTCGCTTTAATTCCTGGAACGTCATCTTCTTTCCTTGTTTAAGGTCGTCGGTTAGCTGTATCAATCTTCTTCCTAGTCCTCTCTTTCCTGCAACCTGGCCTTCGGTGATATCACTCAGTAACCCATTCCTTCTAATAATATGTCCCAGCCAGTTAGCTTTCCTTCGTGTAATCGCCTGCAGAATGTTTCTTTGCTCGTTGACTCTCCTCAATACTTCTTCGTTGGTCACTCGATCCGTCCACCTGATCTTCTCTATTCTTCTCCAACACCACATTTCAAAACTCTCCAGGTATTTCCGTTCGGCGTCCGTCGTGACTATGCTTCCCAAGTACTTGAAATGCTCCACATTCTCCAGCTGTTGGTTTCCAATTACAATGTTCAATGGTTCTGCTTTCGGTGCTATCCTCATTACCTTTGATTTTTCAATGTTGAAAATAGGAATAGAGATTAATAATTCTTTGATTATTGTTCCTCACTTTGACATCCAGTGCATGTAAGTAATATTCATGTATAACTCATATCCAGACCGTCTTTTTTACTTGTGTGCTTTCATGGTTAGAAGTCAAAATTTAATTCAAAAGAAATTTCTGTACCCTTTCTTTGAAGTTGTTACCATTAGAATAGATATTAATGGCCCTCTTTTCCTTGAATCACCCCAGCAAGATTAATTAAAGTTCATCATACTTTCCCATTTTCACTTTTTTACACCTTGCAGAAATGTTCCTCCTTTCTTTGGGCATCTCCCCTCCCGGCATACTCAATTTAAGCATAGAACACAACATGCCAAACTTCCTGTAGCCATTCATATAACCTTTGGATTTGACACAACTTTCTCAATGACATTTATTTTTTCTTTGATGAAAGATCTTTGTGTTTTATTACTGGCTCTGGTTATATATTGATGGTTATCAAACAGGAAAAGTCCTGTACTGTGAGGCTGCATGCCAAACTTTCCACCCCGTGGTTAATGGTTTCACAGTATGTTAGTCTGACTGCACTTAAAGCTGGACTGTATGTTAGTTGTGACACAAGGATGATAAAAGTTAACAAAACAGACACGATACCAAGGGAAAACTCTGAGATTTGAGGTTTTCATGGTGATGATGTTTTTCTGGGTTTTTGCGCCATGTAGACCCACCAGTAGATGCCAGCATTTCGGAGAAACATCTTTTATCTTCAGCCCTGAAGATGGTGACAGTGTATACAAGTCTACATGCTATCATAACCCAGAACAGCACCATCAAGATAATACTTTGTTCTTGCTTGAGGGCACCAAATACAAGTTACGCATATGTTAAATAATCCGTATATCATATATTTTGTCTTCTGGGTTGTTGCATTGTGTAGTCTGGTCGATGTTTACCAACGTTTCAGAGGTCATACTGCCTCCGTCATCAGGGCGATGAATTTGCCAATAGGGTGGGTGGGGCTAGGTTTATAGGAGCCGGACCGTGAATAGAGTAGCCTGCCCCGAGCCAATGAGAGCAGGCGTTGGAGTGGACCAATAGGAGCGCGTGTATGCGAGTGTGAGAGAGGGGTCGAGGGCCTCGGGAAGTGCGTCTGGTGGGACATCGGGAGTTGGGTTGATTGTGATCGGGGCCCTGAAAAGGGCCAGGTTAGTGGTCTGGGTGGTTCAGGCAGTGCACTCTGGATTGCTCTCGGTGTCCACGAAGAGTGTGAATACGGGGCTTCCATGACCGGCTCAGGTGAAGTCCATCTTCCCTATTGAAGTTATTGGGATGTAATTCGATCTCGATGGCTTCCCTGATTATCCGATCCATGTAGCCGGTTTTTGTGGAGAGGATGGAAGTATCCCCGAGCTGTATGAGGTGTCCCGTGTTGAAGCGATGTTCAGCAACGGCAGATTTCTCAGGCTGCCCGAGCCGGATGTGGCACTCGTGCTCGCTGACCCTGGCCTCAATAGAACGGCCTGTCTGACCGATGTAAACTTTGCCGCACTCGCAGGGAACGCTGTAAATGCCAGGCGTCTTCAGTCCTAGGTCGTTCTTGACCGGCTGGAGAAAACTGAATTTTCTTTGGCGGAAGACCAACAGTTGAGTGATGTTTGTTCATTTGGTGCATCTACAGGTAAATCATTCAAGCTGGTGTCACTTGTGTATTTCTGAAGTTTATGAGTTGCAATAAGAAGAATTTTGAAGATTTCCTTAACAGAAGTTATTTATAACTCTGGAAAAGCAATCTAAATTGTTTATGTAACAAAGAACTCTACCTAACAATGGGAACCACAGATATTATTAAGACACAATATAATTTATAAATAGTACTTGACATCCATGAAACAAATGTTCTGTAATGCTGACAGTCTACTTAAGAAATTAATAAAATTATTATGTAAAATTGTTACATAATAACACGAAACCTGGGCCCTGTGTGTGTGTGTGTGTATGAACAGGATTTTCAGAACCTCGTATAATATAGGTAATTTTATTTTATTGTTTTTATGGAGAAATACTTGACTTGAATTGGAAACATTTTGTAATACTTGGTGCTAAGTCATGCAGTTCCTGCTAGGAAGTGATAGTTACATTTTGGTTCATCAGTGAACACATTGTACATATTTTGTTAGTATGAACTGCAAGATGGTGTTAGTTAATCAAGAGAAGAGCTGAAATGTTAATGTTTAACTAGGTAATGACGTTCATGATAATTTTGTCATTAGATGTGCTTTTGTATAATGGTCCAAGATTCACAAATGTAAGATGTCATAACTGCTTGACGAACAAAATTTTTGGAATGGGATCCTATAAAATTTACTGAACGTTAATCTGCCAGTCCAGAAGATGTAATTATAAATTAAATGTAAAAATGTGCGTGGAGATCCTGGCATTTTACTAAGCTGCACAACTTCAAAGTAGCATGCAGTTGGAAGTCTTCTGAGTTGTTACTCCATGTGGTCTGACCACATTGTGCAGCAACCCAGAGTACCATCATTTATATTTACATCACTGTGAAAACCTCAAATTCTGCTTCAAAGTACCACTTTTAAATAAGACATTCATGTTATCTGTATTATCGTAACACTAAGCTTTATCATCTTGATACAATTGCTGTTGAGTGTAATGAGAGGAACAGGCATGTTAACCTCATCACTTTACTTCTGGCGAGCATGGCTGATAATGGCAAACATTACCGCAAGTCTGTTATAACTGACCGACTTGGTGTAATTACCCTCGGAAAAGTTTGTTTTACGTACCACAGGGAAGTCTGTGATTAATTATTGTATTCACAACAAAAACCTCTACCAAACGTGTGAGTGGTTTGTACTCCTATGTCATATTCAGGAGGTCTCGGTTTAAAGTTTTGAACATGACAGCTTTCTTCCACATCCTTTTCAATTCATTATTCAGTAATAATTGTCACTTGATAGTATATAACCTTAACAGTTGAAAGTGTGATTAAAGGAACAAATAATGAACAAGTAAATAAATAACAAAGATGATATTTAATACCTCCATAGAAGCTGTAACCTTTTTTCCAGAATGCCCATGGACTTTCTGGTGTAACTAATACATTACTTCTGTATTTCAGAGTATGTCCAAGCCAGAGATGTGATAAAGTATACATAATTAAAAGACCTCCCTACCTTACTCAAGTTAAGAATTCAGATACTGCTGAAACAGGTGATGCAGATATTGAACATGAGTCAGTACCAGACCAAATGCAAGAAATGACGGTGCAGATGTTGGAAGAATCCTGTGATTCATCAAATCTTGGTAATAATGAGACTTCTACAGACTGTGACCCTCTGGTGCGTATGAAAGCTGAAGACTCTTGGTCTGCAAGTGTTGAAGACTCAAATTGCTGTATGGACCCAGCTGACACAGTACAAGGCATGAAAGTATATCGGTGTTCTGTCTGTAAAATTGAGTACAATGAAAGACATAAGTTGCTTATCCATGAAATTACACAACACATATTTGAAGAAAAACAAGCAAAAGGAATGTCCGTTCTACATAAGAAATACAAACGAGAGCAAGTTGCGTGCAGTATGTGTAGTCAGATCTTCAGTGGGAAGAAGCCTCTCAGGCGACATATAAAGGAACAACATATTCCAGTAGAAAATATTTGTGACTTCTGTGGTGCGTACTACCAAAACAAAAGTCAGTTGGAGGTTCATCGAAGACTTCACACTAACGAAAAACCATTTAAGTGTGAAACATGTAATATTAACTTTCACTTCAAGAAAGAATTGCAACGACACAAGCGCAGTAGCCACAGACAGGTGAAGTCCCTTACGTGTGCAATTTGCAACAAAACTTGTCCAAATAGAAATGCAATGTGGAGACATGAAAAGATACATACAGATGACAGAAATGTCTTGTGTTATTTATGTGGAAAGGTGCTGTCAAACCCTCAAAGTATGAGAGTGCACATGAGAACTCATTCTAGTGACCGACCATGTTCTTGTCCCACTTGTGGAAAGAGCTTCAAGGATAACGCGTCTGTCAATAAGCATATGTTGATGCATTCCACAAAGAATTTTGTTTGTGATATCTGTGGCAGGGCATTCTATAGCAAGGCCCTAGTAAAGCAACACAAACTTAGCCATTCAGGAGTTAAGCCTCACAAATGTGAGACATGTGGCACAGCGTACAATAGGTTAGGAAATTTGAATCAGCATAAAAAGAAACATGCTGCAAACTCTCAGTCCATAGAGGATCTTTCCCATGAATGCGTCATGTGTGGTAAGAGGATGCGGTCAGAGTTGACACTCAAGTACCACCTGGCAAAACATACTGGAGAAAAGAAGCCGTTTGATTGTGAAGTTTGTGGAAAACGTTTTGTTGCCGTGGATCCGTATCGAGTGCATATGCGTATACACACTGGAGAGCGTCCTTATCAGTGTACCACGTGTGGTAAAACCTTTCGAAGCTCATTTACACTGAAACAGCATGCTGCACTTCACAGGGATGAGTGTCCATATGCTTGTCCCTTTTGTGAACGTAAATTTAAACGACTTCAGTCGTTGATTGTACATAAGCGGACACACACAGGCGAGAAGCCACACCGATGTCCATTTTGTGGACGTGGGTTTGCTCAGAAGGGAGACATGTTAAAACACACCAGAACACACACTAGAGACAGGCCTGCGAGAGTTGTTACAGAAATAGAAAACATATCTGAATTGGCACTTAGTGATTCTGAGATAACTAGCGAGTACCTCATCGATATGCCAATAGTTGAAGTGGAAACTGAAATTCATCCAGAAATGCAATTGGAAATTAATGCTGAAATGCATGATTCATAAGTGTCATGACGTATTTATTTTGTGAGGCAGTTCTGTCTGTCTGATCAGTTGCAAAAAAAGTTTGGAAGTATTGGTAAAGGCATGTTTATATTAAATATGGTACTGACAGCATCAGAGTCTGTATTCCTATACAGAATTTCTCTTTATTTTGTTCTGTCAAGTAGAAGAATAATTAAATGATATGTGCTGTTTAACTATGTATAATATTAATTGTAACTTGTTTTACTTTCCATATCTTCCTACGATAAAGGGAGCACAGTACCATAGAAGTACATTTATCATTGTTATGTGTAAGTCAGTGTTTGTAATATTTTATGTTGTGGCAAAAATACTTTTAGATTAAGAGCTTTTAGTGAAGTCTGGTTGATGTGCTCAGAATCACAGGATCTAAATACATGGTAATGATTATTTACAGTCATACAGAATATTACCACTTTCATCTTGTTTACTTATCCCATTGCACTTATTTTAAGTTTCTTTCTTTTCTACAGTAGAGGCAAAAGAACCAAATGGGCTTTGGAGGTTGAGGTTACATACCTTTATTGAAGTTACTGAAGATTATTCAACATAGGGCTTCTACATGGCAGAGTAAAGGCCGCCATTCACGATCGCTCCAGATGGATGACATCCGAATGGATGACGTCCAAACGGATGTCGTCCAAAGAGGTACTACATTCACGGTCGCGTCACGCCAGTCGCGGTTTGTTGTCCCTCTGTGAAGTGCGTGGTGTTTGCGATGGACGAAGAATTGGTACTAGCTACGGCAGTATGCCTGTATATTAAAAGGAAAAAACCAAAACGAAAGTGGTCAAAGCAA